ATCAGGACTTTAATGACAAGCTCCAGTTAGCCCTGGAGTCTACTACCGCCTCTTTTAGCCTCCCTACAGTGGCAAGTGACATCAGTAACCCAAGTATCCCTACAGAACCAGCGCGCCTCAGACCTTCCGACTCCAGAAAAAGGAGGAACCTGCATTTTCCTTCAGGAAGAATGCTGCAAGTCCAGAGTAGTGGAACAAAATGTACAGACCCTGACTAAGCTGAGTGAAGTACTACATGTAGGACACTTCCAGGACAACTCTCCTTTCAGCTGGTTCCAAAGCCCCTTAGCTACCTGGGTCCTACCCATGATAGGGCCCCTGATTCTCATCTGTGTCTTTTTTCTCCTAGCCCCTTGCCTCCTCAAGTTCATCTGCTCCCGGACCATGGAGATGTCATGGGTGACTGTGGATCAGCTCCTGCTCCATCCCTACGCTAAGCTGCCCTCTGACCTGCCTCTGCCTAACCCTGGCCTTTAAACGCCCCCCCCACCCCCCACTCCCCGTCGCCCTTAGCCAGCTGGAAGCAGTCAGATGAGTCACCATCCCTTATCACCAAAAGGCTGGGATGTTAGGTCGGAGAGAGCCCAGGATCGGATACATGCAGGCATGTGACAAGATAATGAATTTCCCCTGGAATTTCTCACAGATCAAGGTGCCAGACACAGATACCGACTTCTTCTCCTTTAATCCACATACCCCTGCCCATCCCCTGCAGCAGAGAATACCTCAGCTCATGTCCCCGCCCTTCACCCAACTGCAGTATAAAAAAAGCGCCCCCCTCCCTGTTGGCGTGAATCCACATGCCCTATCTTTTGGGGTACGTGGGTCTCCCGGGAACACAGAAATAAACCGTTTCCTTTCCTTTCTTTTCTTTTCTGATTCATGGACTCTCTATTTCTTGCACCGCCTCCCGAGCCACCTAACCTAACACCTATTAAAACCCCATTTTTTTCCCACGGGGGTCTCTCATCTCACTGTTGCGAGGCTGGGAGCCAGACCTGGGTCTGTGGTAATAAAGACCTTTTTGCTTTTGCATCGGACACAGCTAGCTCCCTCGTGTGGTCTGCTGGGGATCTTGAAATCTGGGCATAACAATAACTACATTTTTAAGAATATGTTTCAAAAATACAAGACATATTTAATTAATAGATTCAATTCTATCCTCTAGATTTTTCATACGAGGCAAACTGAGATTAATATTTCTGTATTTTGTCATTTTAAAATTCCTAGATATTTAATAAATTTTTATCATTTAATTTAGCAAACTCCAAAGCTTTAAGTTGCCAAAGACTTTGGAAAACTATGTTTAGAAGGGGAGGGGGAAGGAAGCAAGCGTCTAGGTCACTCAGCTTGAATGTAAAATCACCATAGTTTTTCTGCTGGGGGAAATGTGACCAGCTCCCTTCTTCATCAAAGAGTGAAGCCAGTTTCCCCCACTACCTGTAATTATCACTGAAAAGCTCCCCTACAATCCTTCATTTTAGTTACATTTATTTATCCACTTCAACAATTTTGAGATTTTAAAGCCAATTATTATTATCCAAGGCATTTACTTTGGCAAATTCTGTAACAGAGATAACTTACTTTTAGTGGCCTTAAGGTTAACCTTGGAATGCAGTTCATTATTATTCAAAAATGACCCTTTATTATGGAAACACTAATATTGTTGCCCAAACCTAGTCTGTAATTTTTTTCTTTGAGTCATTTTTGCCATCTTTTTGAGAAAAAAACAGTCTTGGGTTTATTCTATATCATCCGTAAAGAGAGGAGGGCTCAGCCCAAGAGCTATCCAAAATCGGAGAGAGCGCACTTTTGTCTTAAGCCAGCTTTTTCTCTTGAAGAATACAGAAATCGCAGATGCATTTCTAAATTCTGCTAAATTTTAAATGATGGACCAGGAAATAAGAAACATGGTGAAAATGAGACTTTTTAATAGCACTCTTGGAAGTGGGCGTCCATTTTTTAGAATCACCATGGGTCTCCCCACCCCCACATCCTGCTTGCTCTGGGGAAATTCAGCAACTGGCCTGGCCACCCAGGTTTCCTTTCTTATTAAATTAAAGGAATGCTTAATAGACTAACAATAAACACATTAAACCAAACAAAAAGGCAGATCAACAAACATATAGACAAGACTTAATATATCACAGTTCTTTTCATGAATCTTTTCCTCTTTCACTCTCCAGCCCTTTAAAGTTATTTTAGCTAAACTCTGCCTGTCACAAGGCGTCATATGGTAATTTTTAAACAAAGCATCAGAGTGTTCCCCTGCGAGAGGAGTGGAGTAACAGCTCTATCCTCTCTAGCTGCCTAGCCTTTCCACATAGAGGCAGAGGATCCAGTGGCTTTTTAATAATAGACATTTGATCCCCAATACGAATTAGGCATTTTGCAATTTGAACAAAACCCCACATAATTAAATATGACAAGGCCACTCGTTTTCCTTGAGCCTGATTTAAAAGAGTACTTTTTGACATTTCCATTTCTTTATAATTTTGCCTTTTAACCGAATTCTTCCCCATTATGGCCTGGCTTGAAAAAGACGTCCTCGCCCACTCTGGGTCATGAATTCCAAAGCTGGTACAAGCTTTATGTGCAGTGAATCTCCCCACTGAATTTTCTAGTGATTCCACCTTTACCAGTGATCCCTTTTCAACTCAGGCGAATAATCTTCTTCTCCAGATGTCCCCCATTGAGGCGCCATAAATGCTGCAGTCTTTTTTCAGCAAGAGTTCAGGAATCTGGAGAAGGGGCTGATACATAAATGGATAGAGACTAGACAAGAAATATAAATTTGGAAGACATTGGGGGAGCCAGACGGAAACCAGCTCTCTAGTGGAGTGGCTCCCTGAATGTCCGGACCCACAGCTTTTTATTCACACATTTTGCCCTTTAGCAAAGCAGACACGCATATCAAAAGTAAGGTTTGGTAAACAGTTAAAGATTATCAGCTTAGGGGAATTGCCTACAGCTTTTCAGCCAGCAGCAGGGTAATATAATGCTGATATTCAGCCCTGCTGACTATCAAAGCCCATCAGCCTTTTGAGGATTTTTCACATTTATTATGACCTGCTGGACTTAGCCTCCAGTGATGCTTGTCTAGATACTGCAGTGACACATAATTGAAAAAAAAAGTTATGGCCCTTTTTGCCTTAAGACTCTTTGTCCTGACAGAATTCCACGCCAATTCATTTTTTGGACACCAGGTGGCATCACCTAGCAGGCTTGGAAAGGCATCCTGGGAGGCACAGCTCACTGGACCTCTCGAGTTTTAAATCAGGACTTCCAGGGTTTTCTGCTCATACCCTTGCCTGATGCTGCAGCCCTGGTTGTCTTTTTCTCATTCTTCATCTGTGATTCTGGCATCTCCCTTACCCTAGCTCTTAATAGCACTGTTCAGATTCCTGGGATTTGACCTTGGCTTTATCCTTGTCTGTGTCTCCCAGATTCATTCACTATTTCTCCTGAACTCAGCCCTACAATTTACAACTTGTTTTACTTCATGTCAAGCCATGCACCACACACTGACCTACCAAAACTAAATAGATAAAAGAAACCCACACTGATTCTTTTTATCTCAATTGCATTGTACTTTAACTATTGACATATAAGTCAGATGTAAGTGACAGAAACTCAACTCAAAATAGCTTAAGCCAAAGGAACTCACTGGCCTATTTGACAGGGGTCAGGTCTAGTCTGAGCATGCCAGGACCCAGGGACTCAAATATACACAACTGTCTATTTTTTCTTGTCCTGATTCCTCCTGAGCGCTGGCCTCTTTTCTAGTGCACACAGATGACTTACTCTGAGAAGCAGGAGAGGGTGACCAATGACATCTCCAGGCTTGTATTGTACTGGCTCGATATAATGCTTGGTTTTTCCAAATATTTGCATATCAGACACAGAGAATAACTCCTCTTGGCCCTGCTTGTGTCAGATAATCACGTCTAGGCTAATCACATAGTTCTCCAAGGGAAATAAACATAATGATTAGCCAGATCTGAATCATATCCCTATCCTTGAGATCAGTGATATGAAATTTATTATTAAAAGAAAGTGACTGGAGAATAAGTATAATGAGCACCCCATAACAACAGCTACCATATTTCACAATAACAGAATGCTCAGAAAATGGTGGATTGAAATGAAGCAGATAGGGTCTAGGCCATTACAAACTCAAATGAATGCTTTACTTTAAATGGCAAAAAAAACCTTTCTAAATGTAGAATTGATTTTGAAGAAGAGAAAAGGAAATTTCCTGGGTGTCAAAAGTAAGAGAAAACCCACAGCAAGAGTGAGAAGCTACCTCATCAGTGGCTACATGATA